GCTGTCTATAGTGTATCACTGTGATGGCTGTTCATCCTTCCATTTGCAGCCATTAATTAAACTATCCACTACAAAAGACAAGTAATCCAATCTGATGATCTTGCTGATGCTATCTCTCTCTCTTTGCTGTACAGTTCAATCAAGACTCATTCTTCTTTTGGTCCACCAATGAATAAGGACTGTGAACATTGTTCCAGTAACTTCAAAGTAAGCCAACAGTTCGCTTTCATGTGAGCAAAAACAGTGTAAAAGCATGTATTTTATACTTGCTCTCATGTTGTGTAGAAGTTTGAACTGATTCCAATTAAAATTGGATTTTCATAAAATTTCCACAAAAAAAGTTGCCAAAAATGAAAAAGAGAATTTTTACATTTTAATAATTTTTCTGATACATACACATGTTCTTACGTTGTGTAGTAATTTGAGCTGATTTCGATCAAAATTGTATTTTTTATGATTTTAAAAAGTCCCTGTACTAGGGACTTTGGTGAATTTTTACCAAAAATGAAAAGGAGAGAATTTTTCATTTTTATAATCTTTTTGATACATATGCATGTACTTATGTTGCATAGAAAGTTTGAGTTGGTTTTTTAGTCATTTTAAAAAATTGTTTCAAAATACCATATGTAGTAACATAGCATTTTGAATTGAACACTAATTCATACGTAGTGTGTATATTTGTAGTTTGGTGGTCCTGTTTGGTCAGACCCAATTCATGATGATATTTTTATCAGTTCATTGCTGAGTGACCTTCAAGAGACTAAAGATCGCTTTGCTACTAATAGCAAAATGATTGGTATGCTCTCAATGATGAAAGAAGTGAGCTCAATAATAAAGTGTACATGTACATGTAAAATTTAATGATAATAGCAATAATGCAGGTATCCCATTATTATTGCTATTGTATATTTTAGGAGCTCAATAATGTGCCATTTTTTCATGACTTATCTCAATTATCTTCAGTTCTTCATTGTAACGTCATGAGGATGCTTGAAATGAGGTATTTTGGAATGAGCATCTCTCCCTGATGTATATGTAACGTTTAGGTCTGCCCTCATGAATCAAGGCTACGGAGTCTCTTCTTCTCATACTAATCCGCAAGCAGTCAAAACTGATGCTCCACACTCTGTCGTCTGGGACATCATGAGAGAGTGGGTGGGTATTTTTAATGATAAGCCACACCATTTTAATAAAATTTTCACATAGGTACAGCGTAATCCAATAAAGAAAGTATCTCCAGACTCTCCAGCTGCTTGTATATTGAGCAAAGAGTCAAGGTAAGATGACATTTAACATAGTTTTTTTTTGCCACAATGGCAATATACGTGTAAGTGTAAAAACTAGTATGCCATTAAAATATATGTGTCTGTATAGTACTCAAGTTTCGTTTGA